AATGGAAAGCTTTCACCAGGAAGCATTGGTGTTTATCTAAGTGTTTATCTCAGCTGTGGACACATTTCTTTGTTTATAAAGTTTATTGTCTTTCTAATTATAGATAGAGGAAACTCGGCAAAACATTGACAAGATCTCAGAACATGTGGAGGAGGCTAAGAAACTCTACAGTATCATTCTCTCTGCACCAATTCCAGAGCCAAGTGAGTGTTTACTCAGAACTGAGTCACCCACCCATGACCCTTGGTATTGGGGCCGAGCCAGTCTTGTTTTCCTCCCCTTTGTGAGCAGTAGGGGAGTGTACTTGTTACCTTGCGCTAATGTACACATCACGTCATTTTTCTGGATCCTCTACTTATTTGAGCACCTACCACCCACCATGGTCAGCTCTGCTCTTCGAGTTCTGTCTTGAACCATTTAGCCAAAGCTTCCTGGACTTCCTAGCTAGTTCCTCCTGTGACTCCTGTGGCTTCTCACATGCGCATACTGTGTCCCACATCTGCACCTTTGCTTGTTCTAATTCCCCTGCCTCAAATGCTTTTCCCAGCCACCTTTTCTTTCTTTCTTTTTTTTTTTTTTTTCTTTTTTTGAGAGGTTTTACACTATAGGGCGCACGCACTCGCCAGACAGACAGAGAGAGACAGAGAGACAGAAAGCGAGAAATCCCCCCCCAGACGGGATGGCCACGCCGCAGTCCCTTCTCCTCCATTCTCCTCTTGAGATCTTGGGCACGCATGCACACGCGCCCGGCGTGGGTTTTAAGCCACCGGGTCCGGGACGCGAACCGCGGTCGACTACGTGGGAGTCCAGAGACATAGCCATCACGCTAACTGCTGGTTCCCCCAGCCACCTTTCGAAAATCTACTGGATCAAGTCCTTTTTTATTTTTTCTTTCTATGAAGAATTCTGAAATGGTTCAAGTTCACAGGAATACCTTGCTTCCCTAAATTCCGACTTGTTACTGCCACCGAGACAAACTTCTGCTTTTTTTTTAACCCCCTACTCTCATTGTCCCACATTTTTAGAATAGAGTTCAGGCCTATATTTTCAGTTTCTTAAGAACAGGGAACCAGCCTGATGCGATTGTTTCACTCTGCTTTTTTCAGTGGCTCTCTGTTACCTAAAAATTGAAGGCGGAACATTTTAGCAGAGCATATGGGAGTTGTCTTGGTCATGTTCCTACCTTCTTCTCCACCCTCTCTGCGGCTGTCCTTCCTCATGCTGCCTGTGCTCTAGCCAGATCAAACTGCAGCCATTCCATAAACATTTCGTGCTGTCACATACCTTTTACACATCACTCCTTCTTTTGGAGCTTCCTGCTCTGTCTCTACCTGGTTAGCTGTTAGTTCTTCTTTGAGATTCAGCCCTACTTTCTCTGTCTTTAGAAGCTTTTCCAAATCCCTCCAAGCTATGTTGGGGCCTTGAGTTAACCAGCACTCATAGTTTATACTGCTTGTTAGAATTGCTGATTTATTTTGGGACCAGCAGTTGGCATAATGGCTCTGTTGCTGAAATCCCATGTAGTCGACCGTGGTTTGCGTCCCGGACCCAGTGGCTTAAGACGCACGCCGGGCGCGTGTGCATGCGTGCCCAAGATCCCGAGAGGAGAATGGAGGAGAAGGGACTGCGGTGTGGCCATCCCCCCTGGGGAGTAATTTCTTGCTTTCTGTCTCTCTCTCTCTCTCTGTCTGTCTGGTGAGGACACGCGCCCTATAGCAAAACCCTCTCCAAAAAAAGAAAAGAAAGAGAAAGACACAAAGAGACAGAAAGCAAGGACTCATCCCCCAGGGGGCATGGCCATGCCACAACCCCTTCTCCTCCATTCTCCTCTCGGGATCTTGGGCACGCATGCACACGCGCCCGGCGTGAGTTTTAAGCCACTGGGTCAGGGACGTGAACCAGAGTTGACTACATGGGAGTCCAGTGACATAGCCATTATGCTAACTGCTGGTCCCTCTCTGTCTTTCTGGCAAGCGCACGTGCCCTATAGCAAAAACCTCTCCAAAAAAAAGAATTGCTGATTTATTTCTCCCTTTCCCCCCACTGGACTCTGAACACCTCAAAGGTAGAATCTATATGTCTCTCTCTGTTTCCTTACTTTCTAGCTCAGTTGCAAGCTTGTATTAGGTGCTGAGGACTATTTTTAACAAATGGTCATAGCTATCAGGTATTTTGCTCCATACATCCTCGGGCAGTTTTGAGAACATAGTAAGTATGTCATAGATGTTGATTTCATTCTAAGTCCATTAGCCTGGGTTGAGATCTGCCTTTTTTCCTCGAAGTCCCATAGCACCCTCTCCTACCTTCTTAGCTGAAGCCCTCATAGTAAACCAGGTTGTTTCCTCCACAAACATGATTCTTAAAATTTTGTGTGCTGAAGAATTACATGGAACAAGTTGTTCAAAGGGCAGATTCTAGGACTCTAGTGCTCAGTGGTTTTAGTCTGTAAGTCATGAGTGGTGTGCCTAGAAAATGCCTTTTAAAAATAAACTCTGTCTGATTCTAATGGCAGATTCTGGGGCACACATTGGATAAAATGCTCCAGGCACTGGATGCCTGAGAAAGCTCCCCACCTCCTCTGTTGATTGTTGTAATCACCAAGAAGTTAATCCCTGCTTTTCTAACCGATCCTACCTGCTTTGTTTACTCAGAAACCAAGGATGACCTAGAACAGCTCACAACTGAGATCAAGAAGAGGGCCAACAATGTCCGGAACAAACTGAAGAGTAAGAGGAAACAAAGGGAACAAGCTGGTCCCACCACCTTCTGTCTCAGCAGCCTGGGTCCAGCTCTTCTGAGCTGCAGTTCATCTTGTTGGAGTTGACACCGCTAGTTCCTTCTTTGCTGTGGTTTGGGCACTGTCCCTGTAATGACCTATTGTAGCCCTAGAAATTGACCTTTTCTTGAATCCTGACTGTAGTTTAAAGAGTCCAGATTTGAAGTTAAGAGTTGAAAAATTAAAATGCGGTTTCATGGGCCAGCAGGTGGCGTGGTGGTTAAAGACAGTGGACTCCCACATGGCCGACTGCGGTTCAAGGCCTGGACCTGGTGGCCTGTTCTCTCAATTTCCTTCTCTTTGTATTTCTGATCAAACTGGAAAATAATAGTAATAATAATAATAATAAAGTTAGATAAAATAATTCTTAAAAAAAAAAGTGCTTTCAGCTACCAAGTACTTGTGTGACTTGGTCCTTTAACTTAGTCCCTTGACTTTTCTCTTACTCATCTTATTTGCTCAGTACCTACATGAATTTGAACAGTACTTTGAGAGGTATTTAGAAACAAGGCTCCTTATTCAGTCTGTAGACATTTCTTGGTGGGCTAGGTATATCACCTGCCCAGTGTCCTTCCATGCCTGCTTTAGAGCATAGTGAATCCACGCTCCTGGGTTCAGTGCTCCTGGGCATCTCAAAGTTCAGTTACTTCAATGGCTATAGTCTGCATTCTTCCCTGGCCAAGGTATTGTTGAATGCGTGGTGTTGGTGAAAGGCTGGAGGAGCACTGTTCAACACTGTTCTTCTCAAAAAACAAGTTGTAATGCTATTTTTATTGGCGTGGATGGAGGGTTATTTGTTGTAATTTCCAATCATAACAGTGGCACTGTGCCTCTACTGTGCTGAATGCTTTATGAAGATTCTCATTTCATTTTAACCTCAGTATTATTCTATGTCACAGACAAGAGAACAGGAACATTAATATGAGAGGTTAAATGGCTTTTCCAGAGTCACATAGCTGGGAAGTGACAGGGCAAGGATTTGAGCCCAAGTCTCTTGGTGTCCATGACCAATGCTGTTAACCACTATGCTAAGACCTGATATAGAAAAGCAATGGAATGCGAGTCCTGTGGCTCCTGAGAGCTGGCCATTTGAGACTCCGCCTATCTGTTGTTACGTCTCTGCGGCTGGGGATGGGAGCATGAGCAAGGAGAGTCGCATTGAAC